CTGAAACCTGTCACATGTGGAGTACCTGTTGTGTCTAGAGATACCTGGCCAGATGCATCAATACAACACGTGGTCTTTTCTATCCTCAGTCTCGCTTTCACTACAGAGGCTTTCAAATACTGAAAGCTTCTAGAAATGTGCATCTGACTGCAAATGCAAATAAAGTACAATTAAATGTGGCACAAAAGCAGCCAGAAACCCTTTCGGCAACTCAAAACTTTAAACAGCATCATCTACAATATGGATACAGAAATGTGTACTAACGAGAGCTTACACAGTCAATAAATGTCATTCCAAAAGGATGCAGCTGCTTGCACTGATTCTGCGCTTCATTAACTGCATTTCCACCCACCTGTTTGTGTAACACAGAGTTAAAATAGCACCTTCAAAGTGCGAAGCTGAGAGTTGGTGAATCAGAAAATGTGACAAAGAGCAACGGAAACAAACTGTACATAAAATGATACAGCGAGACAAAAAAATAGAGAATAAACTCAAATATATGTGAAGCGACGAGCTCCTCAGATTAATACAAGAAACACACAAAAGAATGCAACAAATCCTGGCTTTCTATCGCTTTGGGGTTGACTTGTTTTGTCGTTGTAATGTTAAAAATGTTAATTTAGTAGCGTGTCTGCCTCAAAATTCAACTCACTAAATAATTGACCACTAAAAGAACTTGGAGTTGCATTTGTGTCAGCGATCATTTTCCACTTATCCAACGCCAGGTCATTTTGGACGCAGGCTAGCAGGATATTGGAGGCATCCTTCTCCCCAGCAAAACTTTCCACTTCCTCCCAGGTGATTCTGAAGCGTTCCGAGGCCAGATAAATAATAAAGTCTCCAGTCGGCTATTCATGGAAAACCTTCAAACGGAGTCACCCATGAGGCACCCTGACCCAATGCCCACATCACCTCAGCTGGCTCCCGTTGGCATGAAGAAGCAGCTGGAAAACTGTATACAATGAATTTCTCATTATGCAGGACAAAGGAACATAGTGCTGTGAACACCTCACAGTGTATGGTCACTGTTAACCATTGAGGAATAAATAACAGTGTGCAAGTCTTAGCTAGCAGCTATAATGTGGTGACCGTCTGATTGTTTTAATTAGCTCCTTTGGCGTGCTTTTTTATCCAGTTTAAAGCCAACATGCTTCCAGCTTCATCCCAGACTGGTGACCCATCCAGGGTGTATCCTGTTTATCATCCCCCAGTTATCCAATTCAGCAACCCTGAACTGGATAAGAGGAAGAAAATGGATGAATAAAACCAGTATAATCCCATCTGTGAGGAGTTCATAAAATCAGGAAATATTGGACTAATTGTGGTTATTTGGAAATTCTGAAAAGTTTAAAGTAAAACTTATTAATCAATCAATTGAAACAGAATAAAATCCCTGCTTTAGTATAATAAAATACCCACAATGTGTTTTTTATTATTATTAGCATTTTGTTTCTTTTTAACACTATCATTAGTATACACGATGCATTAAAAAACAAATGTTATTTAATAAAAATACGTAAAATATAAACAGAGATTTAGATGCTGACACACTTTGCATAAAAAATAAGTGCTGCAGGTTAATACCAGCTGGCAGAGAGTGGCAGGATGACTAATAAACTCTATGAGAGAGGATGAACTGAGGGTGATCAGCATACTTTAACTGAGAACTGTAAGCTAACACGCAGCCCACTTCTTCTCAATATGGAGAAGCTACGACCCATCAACGCGCCTGTTGAAGTGGGGGCGGATAGTGTGCGCGAGTGCTGGCATCAGAGGGTGAAGCAGTGAGAGGGAACAGATAGAGAGTAGATAATAGCTTTCATGACATCAAGATCTCCTTCAGAATAGCAACAACAAGGCGCTGTGAGCCATGAATCAAAACTGAGACACTCAAATGGAAAGCAATTAGCCCCCTGCTAGTGAAGTGGACCACAGTCAAACAGAAGCAGTAGCCATGCTGACTAAATCAGAGAGAAACGCTGCAGAGGTGTGAACAAAAAGTCAATCAACAGGTTTTTTTCAGAGATTTAAAAAAGCCCCGAGACACATGTCAACAGGGCTCGTATCGCTGGCCTTGTCGACAGACGTGGGCAGATACTGGATGCTTTTTCCTGTTTTTTGGTGTTATGTTCATTAGTAATGCAATGACGACTTTAAAATGGTCAGTTATGGTTACAAAAAGGACTCCTGTGTGCTAATAAATGCCAAAACCAAGCTGAACCCCCCCCAAATAAACACTGATTTATGACCAGAATTTCACCAGTGGTACACATCTGGCAATACAAAAAAAAAATCACAAATAAGTCCAGCTACTCTGAATGTCCCAATTAAAATTGAAATACAGCACGAGGCAAAATTCCCACCATCTGAGCTGGAGCTGTGCAGACTCTAAGGCAGTGGAGTTATGCTTTTATTTGGTCCAGATTTACGTTTTCTATCGAGCAGCTACAGAAAGCAAAAATGATTTCTGTCTGGTGTTTGTTTCAAGGTCAAAAACTGCAGCTCCCCAAGTAACTGCCTCCTCTGCTCTTACGCTAGTATTTTCTTTCTTTGCTTTTTTCTCCTTTTTGCGTTGCATCTTTGATTGTGCTTGTGCCAGCGTGCAGCCTGTCAGGAGCTATCAGAGGGGCCGTCTTGGCCGCGGTGGCGTGACTAAGCTGGGTTCAGGGCCCTCGAGGTTTTCACCGGGCGCTCTTCTTGCTGAGCGGTGACACATGTGTTGTGACAGGGAAGCTGCATTATGGACTATCTGGGGACGGCTTGTTGTGGCTGTGAGGGTTCACAGGCCGGGGTTGTGTGTGAGTACGTCACTGCCGATGCTCCCAGAGGTGGACATGCCGCACATTAAAGACAAGCAAGGGCATCGTGTGTGTTTGTGTACAAAAAACAAAAGAAGAAAAAGCCACCACATTGTCAGATGACAGTATAACAAATCCACTTTGCTTCTTCCTTCTGAACCTGTGCATGAAACCAAAGGTGATTTTTTTTTTAAGCTAATAAAAAAATGGGAGTGAAATCCTCCAAGACTGCACATGTGTTAGCAGTTATGATAAGTGATTAACTACTTTTCCTTTCTGGAATGTGAGGCATTTTGAAGCAGTGTTTGTACATGTTGCATTAATTCTGTCAGGTCTAAATTCACCCCAGACACCCACACTAAAGCACTGAAAGAAACCTTTGAGAAAATTCCTCTTGAGCCGCAGGATCTCGAGCTGTAAATACTGCCCGTGAGCTCCTTGCTATAAGCGAGAGCCGTGTCACACCTTCCTCTATTTTTACACTTAATTGTGCAGAAACAAACTTGCGTTATCCTTTCCTCTGAAGTTGCTCTCCGTCCTTGTGTGTCATTCTGGAGCACAAAGGAGCATTCATGATGGGAAAGCTGTGCCTGAGGGGGGGGAGGAAAAAAAAAAAGTCTGGGGCTACACCCTGCGGTCCTGACACACACACAAAAACACTCACTAAAGCAGCTCAACTTGTCTTGGCTGAGACCTTTTACACAAAACAGAGCAGGGAAAGAGAGGGACAAAGGGGATGATGTGAAGCCAGCCAGCTATCATCACCACTGACGTCCCTTCAGCATTATTTTTCCAGACTTTCCTTTGCAGTGGAGTCTCTATAATCCACTACATCTATCCTTTTTCTGCTTTTCTGCCTAATTACATACCAGTGCAGGTTTGTGTATGAGCCGCACACTTGTTAATTTTATGCTTGGCACCAGTGCGCTGAATCTCCTTAAGCGTACACTACATGTCTGCTAAGAGCCATGTTTTGCAATGCTGCTCCAGATGTGAGTCTCTGCGCCCCACTGAGGGAGATGAATAGCTGGGGGGGCTGCAGGCTACCTACAGGTTCACATCCTTAATGAGCAGAAGAGTCTGCTGAGAGCGAGATATGATTGATAGCTCAGCAACAGAACTGAAAGGGGGAAATCACAGTGAGGCTTTTGATAAAGACGGTGGGGTGGAGGGGCTCTGGCAGGCGGCAAAGAGAAGGGATCTGGCATCGGACTTGCCCGAGCTGGATGCCAAGAAGCCGTCCACCGTGCTGCAGAAGCCCCGACGCTTCCTCTTGTTACAGCGCCTCTCGTCTGTACTGTCTGACCTGGATGTTTCTCCCTGTTGCGTGCTTCACTATATTCCACATAGCACTTTTCACCCGCCTCCAAGGGAAACAAATAGCAAAGGTGGAATTCCTGGCAAGTGACTCCGGATGTTGTTGGCAGCGAGAGGAGGTGAAGCGCATCCAACACTATTACCAGCCGGCTGCACTCGAAGCCTTTATTTCACCAAAACAGCAGATACAGAAAGGCGGAGGGAGATGATGTTTATTTATTGCCTTCACTCCATTACGCATGCCAGGCTGGAATTTTTTAATCCCATCTGGGGCTAACAGGGTGTTAATAGTCCACCCTGGGAGCAGTGGATGCTTGTGACTCTAAGCCCGAGAAAGCACAGAAATGACATCAAGGAGACAACAGAAGATCAGGATTGAGCTAAATCGCCTAAAAGCCTGTCCTTTCAGAAGGCAGCAGTAATACAGGCAACCGCCACTTCAGGATTTGCAGCCAAGAGCAGTCGCCACAAAAATAATGAAGTGAGGCTGGATGGGTGCCAGGAGGGTGGCTGGTTATGTCAGCCTGCGTAATGTGTAGGACCTCGGTGTCTGTCACGTCAAACCAGTGAGCTATTGAGCGCCCCGATTCTCATTAGTCCCGCAGGTAGCAAGATCTAAATCAGGTTTATCCAACAGTTTACTCAGGTCGGTAAAATCAGGAGGACGCACAAAAACAGTTTCAATAAACATTTTCCATTCACAACTTAACATGTAGCACATTAAAACAAAATCATAAGCTACTGTTTAACAAGCAGACTGAAAACAAGGACCGCGCAGTGATTCAAAAACGAACCGAGACCATTTACTACTTCATTTTAATAGCCTACTTTTACTTTCCAGCCCTGAGCACGTTCACACATTAGAGCGAGCAGATATGATCTTACCTGACTTGAATTGTTTGGACCTCGTCCTCGGCTCCACACTTGCTTTGTGGTAACGGCAGGAATCCAAGGTGCGTTAATGAAAAACGAAAAAACAACAACAACCAACTACTAAATAAATACTACCGCGTCCTCCGGCGGCTCTGCCTCGGTCTAATTTTAGACTCCTGGCAGACACGCGAGGCGCACAGGCGGGTTTAAATACTACTTGTGTAATTACCAGTTAATTAGCGACTTGTCTACATACTAATCAGTGAGCGCGCGCCGTTTTTCTTACTGCACCCGCGCGTTTTTCTAGACTGCAAAGGTTGACAGATGCTGCAGCTGTTTTATTTGATGTTTTCTTGTCTTCTCTTCGGCGGAGGGATAAAGGCGAGCCCCAGCGCTGTCTGTGGTAGTCCATTCACGGTGCTTCTCCGCGCAGAGGGTCCCGAGCTGCTCCCGTCGGTTGACAGTTAATATGAACGTGCGGCGGAGAGAAAACAACAGCAGCAGCGCCGCAGCTCCATCCCGACCAGTACTGCTGAGGAGTTCACGGCCTGCTCGGAACTTCCCCCACTCTCCCGTTCTGAGTGACTTATCGCGCCCGCGTTATTGTATGTCGATTAATTTTATATTATTTTTGCAAAAAGCACCCGCAGAAGAGCGTTTTTATTAACACGTGATAGGTTGTTATGTGGGGGATCCCTGGGTACAAATTAAAAGTCAGCCAATTCCAATGTCATGTCCACGTGGTCGAGACGACCTGCCGAAGTTCAAAGCCACCATCAGAATGAGGAAGAAAGGTAATTTAAGTGAGTTTGAAGGTGGCGTGGTTGTTTGTGCCAGATGGGCTGGTCTGAGTGTTTCAGAAACTGCTGATCTACTGTAATTCCCAACACGGTCATCTCTAAGGTTTTCAGAAAACGGCCAGAGAAAGAGAAAACATCCAGTCAGCAGCAGTTCTCTGGAAGATACCAAAGGTTACAGGAAAATGGCCAGATTGCTTTGAGCTGCTAGGAAGGCAACAGCAACTCAGATAACCACAAGTTACAACAAAGTTATGCAGAAGAGCATCTCTGAACACATAACACATCCTAAAACATTGAAGCGGCTGCACTAGAGCTGCAGAAGAGCACATTAGGTGTCACCTGCCAGCACAGAACACAGCAGAAGCACAGCTGCAGCTTTGTGATGCAATCGTGGGAACATGGACCAAAGTCTGAGAGGAACGTTTCCAGAACTTTGTTGAATCCATGCTATGAAGAATTAAGACCGTTGTAAAGGCAGAACCAAAACTATAAAGTATCTGTTATTAAGTGGAAAATGAAACAGCTTGTGCTTTTTTTTATTGTTTTTCATCAGGATTATGTGTAGCTACTGTTGCTGTTTAGTCCTCGTCTCAGTCCTTTTACTCCATCAGTATATGGGATGACACGAAAATATAACTATGCAAATACTTTTGGTAATAAAAATAGATTTCACGTGCTGCTTTCTGTGCCCAGAATGCTCATTGGATAATCTGACCAGTGTAAGACAGACACATGGGTAAAATTCTGTAACATGTTGTAATAAAGTACAAATACTGTCCAAGGATGCCGGTGTCCCAAGTTCCTTTTCTTAGTTCCTTCAATAAACAAATACGTCATTGAAAAATATTGTGAATTTAAAAAATATATATATGTATTTTTTTTTGCATGGCTTTTGTTTTTCAGAGGATAAGGTAGAAGAAGATATTAGCTAATTATTGTGCAAGTTAGAGACTAGTTTCCTTATAAGTATATTGTATGTAGCATAAACATCCACCTTGGCCCCAATAATCCAGCATCCCTCAGGCTCAAATTTAAACCTGTTAATCAGTAGTTGAGAATAATTTGAATCCAAGTTGCAGACAATGGGTATTGCTTAATCTACTTAATATTTTCTTTATTAACCACTTTACATAATCCCCTGGTCTCTAAAAAGCGTGTACTTCGGCTTTTGCCTGGAGCCATCAAATGTTGGTATTCTGCAGACACTCTGTAGGGCTGTTGATGCTCGCTGGAGAAATGAAATCACCTCAGTGTTTGGATTATAGTTAATGAAGCCAAGTGCTGCAGCAGTGTGCGTGCCTTTTTGTAAGTTTGGATGCTTTCGTTCATATCTGCCTGAAGAACTACTTTCTCTTCTACTTACTAAAATCTCCTTCAGCTTCAGTTAAGTTTAACTAATGTCAGTAAATTAATGCCTCTTTTGTTTGTTTTGCAGGACTACTTATTGCTCAGCCATCCTGGCAGTTGCTTATTGTTTTTATTGGCTACACCATTGACTTCATTTACTTTCTCAAACGTCCACGTGCCCTCAGGCTGTAATAATATAATTTCCGACAGCACCTGAAGGATTCTAACAGTTTTTTTTTTTCAGACAGGTTGTGTGTTGGAAGATCTGCTCTGCAGGGATGTGACCGACAAAGAGAGGGGAGGGAGCAAACCCCTCTCATCTGTTATGCATTTCCCCTTTGATTCCACAGCAGCCACTGAATCTTATTTTCCAGTGTTTCTCCCTGAGAGCGCTTTGTTCTGCGTTCAGCTGTGGAACGTGTCGGGGAACACAGTTAATTGTGAAAACCTTGTATCTCTGATCTTGTTTTCTCTCTCTTTACCTTCTTTTCATATTTAGCTCAAACTACTGCTGGGTGTCAGGATCACACAAAGCAAAGGTGTCACTTCACCACAGCAAAGTCCCCGACAAGAGGGGGGGGAGGGCTGACAGCTTTAAAGTTGTCTATCTGTGCAATAAAAATGAAGCTGGAATTAATTACACTCTTGTACAACAAGTGCAAACATATTTAGGTGTAGAGTAACAGATATCCACCTAAAGATGTGTTTGGTTTTTTTAACGTTCCATTTCTGTGCCATTTTTAGGATTTCTGCAACAGAGAGGTATTTAGATGTACACTCGGGTGTAGCTATGATATCTTTGCCTGTGGGGCAGAAACGTTCATCAAAAGATGCCACTGTACAAGTGAGCCCCTCTCCGCATGAGCTGCAGGCAGTCTGATTTCGAGAAACAACACCGCCACGCTTATTTTGAATTCATGCAAATTTTGGTGGTTTACATTTAACGGAGGAGAGTTAAAAGTTTATAAAGTAAGTGAAGTTCAAACATTGACAAAAAAAAAGAAAAAAGAAAGAAACAGGATGCAATGGTTGCTCCACCTGTTGGTTATTTTGTGGAAATGCAATTTAAGGCAAATTTTAGGACATTGATTCAAATGCAACACACAATTCAATAAAAAAAAACCCTCTTACATGATGATGTTTCTTTGTTTTTTTTTTCTTTTTTAAACAATATCATCACATAGAAATTCTCTATCAGAAGTCAATTAATAAGACAGTTTACAAATCAAAGTCAGTCCAAAGTACAGGAGAAAAATACATTTACAGGTACGTTAAGACACTGTAACACAAGGTTGCTGAGTGAAAAACAGTAAGGCACCGATGCCTCTGTGGCATAGGTAGTTTCTAAAAAAATAAAATAAAATCACAAATTAAAACCAGCCTTAAAAACCAGAAAATTCTTAAAATCTTGTAAATTAAACGAAAGCGTAAGAAACGATGCAGCAAACGTACAAGTCTGAACACGTAATTAGTGGAACACAGCCTGTGAAAGATTAACACATTCAGAGCTCGTCAAACGGATGTTAAACAGGTTTCTGTCGTTTGGTACGGAAGCAAAAGAAGACCAGCAGAGTTTAAATGTGTACACTGCACTGAATTTAAATGTACAGAGATCTGTTTTTAATTTCCTGATTGGAAATTTTACTTCTGTTTTTGTAAACAGACCACATTAAACAGAAAATTCATATGTCAAAAGTTTGCTGTTGTACATCTTAACTTCTTCAAACGACCCTGAACTAACCTAAAACTTTAAATTCTGCATTTTAAAATGACTTTCAAGTATTTTCACTTGTTTCTAAAGCACTTCATGGTCTCACATGCTGGCAGCAGATGAAGTAGTTGGCCCTCGGGTCCTTGAGCAGCTGCTTGAGGACAAAAATGTTTGTTTCAGTTGATGAAATTAGTAGATTCTCTTTCCTAAAAAAACCCCCAAAATGCACTGCTCTATTGCAGAAGAGTCAAATTATTGCCCTCCAACAAGCAAGGAAAACAACTTTGGAGAAGCTGAAAGTACTAAAGCCGGGTTAAGAAATGTACAACACATTATTGAAATCTGGAAAGAAAAAAAAACTTGACTGATCATGATCACAATCACTTAAAAACTTGGTGAAATCAGATTCGACCACAGTCATCATAGATATGAAATTAAGAGAACTACACAGCTGTGTAGTCTTAAGAAAACCACTTATCTGTGTGGCTAATCAGAAAAATGGGCTGCACGTTGCTGGGATCATAAGGACTGGACTCTGGGGCAATGGTAAAAGGTCATGTGGTCCAGATTTACCTTGCTCTAGACTTATGGCTAACTAACGAGGGGTGATGAAGTCATGCGCCCATCATGCCTCGTACCTGCTGGGCAAGCCTTAGGTTCAGCAAATTGTACGTTTTAAAAAAATGAGGTTAGCTGACTTCCTGAATATACTGGTACATATATATGCTGATATACTCGCAGCTTTAACATAGTGAATGACCAGGTTTTTCCATCAATGGATGTTTTTCTCCCCTGATGTCACGGGCATATTCAAAGACGACCATGGCCAGAGTCCAGATCTTAAGGCCACTGAGAATATTTGGGATTTCTGCCTCTCCCATTGTCAAACAAGATAATAGTGAGAAATGAATGCAGTTCTAGATGGAAAAAAATGCTGGATAAATTTATCAAAATGATCCCACGTCGAATGCTGTCATCAGAGCTAAAGGCAGTCCAGATTGTATGATGTTGTTCCTTTTGTGATAGTATTGCTTTCTGGTTTTTGCAAACTCTAAAAACACTTTAACAACATTTCTGAAGTATTACAACGTGAAAGCATTTTCATTTTTTCAAATCTATAAACGTAACAGTATCTAGAAGTCAAATGTTTTGGCCTTCTTTTGCTTCCGTATTTGGAGGGAACATGAATCATGGATCAAGTGTTACGGATAACATTTCCAGTTGGTTTTCAGGTACTAATTCTCTCCAGCATAATTATATTTTCAGAGAAGAGGATTTTTTTCCCAGCAGTGTTAATATTTTTCATCTGTTACTTTACTGATAATAATATTGTAATATTATTAACTATGGGGCCTGTGATCCCACTTTAATATATCCCTGCACGTCTTCTGTTGAATTCCACCCCCCACCCCCCCCTTTTCTCCCCCCCACAGGTAATCAAATATCACACTATACAAATTCACTCAAAGGCTCCAGGCTGATCCCATAAAATAAAAACCTTTTGGATTCAGATTACAGGTGCATCTCTACACTTCCAAATGAGCTTTGGTCTTTCGCATTGTGTGTTTCACTGTTGTGCTGTAAAGGCTGTGCTTCTGTTTCAAGCTGTTAGAAAGCATCAAAGCTGAGAAGTCTTGACGGATTGCTTTGAGATGAACTCAGCCGGTCTCCATCACACCCCTCTCTGGTTTTAGAAAAGGGAACGTAAATAAGACCTGAGCTATAAGACGTGTGTTGCTTCCCCCACGTAAACAAACTGAATCATAAAGAGTAGCAATTCAAACAGTATTGCTCACGGAGTCGGTTAATATTTGATTCACTAATAACTGGCTTGACACATTTTCTTCTCCCGGCTGCTGATACAAAAATAGATAAAACAGTTACTAATATAAAGCATATGTCAGACAATCAGGACTTGGCTTGTTTTCTTCTAATAACCAGTAATTGAAATCAGAAACGGTTACACCCAACAAGAAAATGCAACAACTCTACCTACATCACAGCCCCCTCCCACGCCCCCTTTACTGTACCTTCTCCAGTCAACACACACACACGCACACACACACTTGGTAAACACTGCACAAAGCTACCTTTCACCACAACCACAGGCACAGTAAAGAGTATATATATATATTTTTTATCTGTATATGAAACGCAAAGATAAAGCGGCTGCAGCTAAAAAGCCCGTAGACAGTCTGCAGGGTTGTCGGTGCTCGCTGCCGTAATGAAATCGCCTCAAAAGTTTGAATTCCCTCCAGCGAGGCTGAGTGGTGCTGCACTGTGTGTGCTTTCTGTAAGTGTGGATGCAGGTCTGTGTGCTCTCAGGGTGTGTCTGTGTTTTGAACTCTTTAAGAAGTTGATGAACTGACTAAAAACCATAAGGCAAGGGCTTCTGTGTAGACACCCACAGCTCTCTTATAGCACCAGAGCAGGTTAGAAAAAGGTAAAAAGTAGCTGTGATTTAATGAGCCGTTTATATTCAAAAAGGTGTCGGAAATTTCTTTAAAGAATCGTGACATTGCGTGTAACCTTCGAATGAAAAGTCATGTTCACAAAACCATCTAACTAACCTACATGTAGCATATCCCAGTCAGTCAATGTGTCCTCCAACTGGTGTTTTCTATAAATATTCGACAATCTGAAACACTCATTTCTTCTCCATGATCACTATTGAATGTCATCTCGACACAAACCCTGGCAGTGATGTCAGGGCGTGTCTGACACCTTCTATTATTCTTCACATTTATTTATTCTACTTAAGCTTGAGATGCTTGAGAAGCTATGCTTGTAACTCAGTAGTGTCGGCAGAGAGGAATTCATTAAAGTGTAATAATTCTCACTCAATCTACAGCCATGAAAAAGAAAGTATCAATTCTAAGGTTTTACTCATCAGGACAAAATAAATGTGGTCGGTAACAGAGGGGCGTACTAAAAACTGTTCATCTGGCGATGTACTTTTAAGACCAGCTAAGTCCTAGATTATTTTTAACATGTTTTCCTGATACATAAAAACCTTAGAATTGACTTTGTTTTTCTTATGACTGCCTTATAACCTCCCACCACCCTGAATGAAACTGCACAGGTTACAATGCAGCGTGATGAAATAAACTTTGGTAAAGGACATTTATAATTGAAAAAGTCCCTATATTCACTTTATAATTGTCCCATTTATGGGTACCCTGGACGGAGCATGTGGCATGCATGTTTCTAAAATGATGTGATAGTGATTAAAGCTGCAGTCAGAAAAAAGGTGAACAAACAAAATAAGAAAATGAAAAGTCCTCTTCCTCTAGTGCTCCCTTCTCTGTTCTAAACATCCACTAAAATATAATTTCTGATTTAAGACATGATCGTTACCAATCAGCTGGTCACATCTGATAAAAAGACCTGCCAGTGCAAAGTCTCCGGTCACAGTCCAGATCTTCTAAAGCCTGAAGACAGAGGGAAGGTGAACTGTAGGAGGTGAAATGTCATTTTTTGGTCCAAAGAGAAAGAGAGTCAGTGCAGTTAGCATGACCAGTAATGGTAGCTCTGTGTATCCACACCTCCGACTCACACATCAGACATCTGGAGAAGTTCTATGGACTATGTAAAAGATGGACACCATAAAGGCGTTCATTGGTTTGGACTCAGTATTTTTGCTATACTAGGTTTTTGGACCCAGAATTAATGATATGTAGACAAAAGGGTGGAGTGAGAGATTTCTTGGATGGTTTGTACCACACAGCAAGCTCTTTTATGTGTTAGACAATTCTATTAGAGGTGCTCCAAACAGCATAAACACAGTGGAGAGATCCAGTTCAGTGACTCCAATTAGTAGAGAATGGGCTTAGCTGATGGACCATAAACAGACTATAAACATTTTAATGATTTTAATGCTTTACATTGGGCATTTTAAAGTGGGAGTCTATGGGGACTGACTCACATTTGGAACCAACCTCAAATGGTTTTTGCGCTTACACACTGGTGTCTCTTCTCTTCTTTTAGCTTTGGAAGTTCCTGTTTGCTGTTAGACCGGCCTTTTGCTTCTTTGTTTACAGGTCCTTATCCATGGCTCCTTATCTCTTCTAATTGCTTTATCTTTTTTGATTTACCATTAATGCATTCTGACTGAGTTAAATGTTTTGCTGTTGCTGTTTGGATTGTCACTCTTTGTTATATCCTAAACAAGCTAAGGCTTGCACTTTGAGGTACATGAACCTCATTCCCAATGTAAGAACTAGGATTTTATGGAAGTTCCATGGTGACTAGTTTTACCTCCCCCATGAGTACCTTTTTACTATCTATGACTGAATGGGTTCTCAGTCGTCTAATGGTAATCTAAAGTGTTTGAACTGAAGGCAGCTGCACTCGCTTTAGGTTCCTGAAGAGGTTTTACTTTTCATTCAGAAGATTGTTTTCAGTTCTAAAGACTGATTCGGAGTGCTGTCTAGTGCGCCACCTAAGATCATGAGTTATGCTTACGTGAGTGGAGGCGTGAATCCAAAATCTGAACATTTGTATTTCACAGTCTCTTCTTCTTTAGGTGCAAATAACCCTTTCAGGTGAGAGGTGACGATGTCTTCAAAAACCTAAAAGGAGTCGAGCTGCCTTTGACTGAAGCACTTCAGATTGCTTGTAATATTTTAAAGAAGTACAGGAATCTTCAGGTGGGTTTTGCAGTTAAGAAGCTTTTTTCCTTTTTAATTATTTTACAGTCCCTATTTTACACCATTGTAGAACTGCCATTTTAAAATCTGCCAAACTTTTTGTGCTTTTGAAGTCGATGGGGATGACACAATGGTAATGTCCAGCCTCGTTTGACATTTCCAGGTAAGAAGTTGTCTCTAGCTAAATTTTAAGGTAAGGATCTGCTAAGAGGTGGTCTGGAAAATATTTGTTAAAAAAATATAATTACAAAAATTGAAACCTTCTTTAGAAACTCCTACTTGTATTTATGCGGCTGGAGGTGTGGGTACATATGGCTACCAGGTGTAATTTGCTCAATGATCTTTAGCCCCAGCTAAACCGGCTCAGCAGACAAAAAGATGCCATCTACAAAAACTTAAAGGTCATTACACGCAGTATGTGGAAAATAGCATGTCTCATCATAAAACTAATTCATGACTGTTTAGTCAAACAGAGCCATGAAATCGCTTATGCCATGCCGAGCTGAGAAACTGAGTGCAGATGTGGTTGTGTTCCCGTCTCTTCATCACCACTGACGCTGGTTCATTGGACGGCATCGCACTCCCGCTTCCCAGTTGAACATTTCCATTTCCTGCCCATCTGAGACAAAGATGGCGGCGGCGCCGTGTAGCTATGCCGGCGCGCCATCTTGCTGTGCCATTAAGATTCCAGCAAGCTGTGCCAGCGGCAAACCTGCTGTCCTTTAGACTCTTTCATCTGAGTCCAGTGGGTGAGCTCCTCCTCTCCAGAGCTGTTGAGGCCCAGCGAAATCCAACCAATCATCTCCTTGCGCTTCATGCTGCGCTTGTTGTAGACGGATAGGATGAGCGTGACGTCCGAGAGCTGGAAAAGAGCTACCTGGAAGACAAACGTCTCTTTGTAGGTTGGGTTGGGCTGACCTCGACAGATGGAGGTCTTACACTTGGACATCTCATGGCCCATGGAGTTAAGTAAGGTCAGCTTAACATATGTATCTAGAGAGGAAGCAGGTGGAGGAGAGAGTTACAAGGGAAATGATACATCTTTATATATTTTTTTTAAACCGTGAGATTCTACAATAGCTTTGTAGTAGTAAAAAAAAGGAAAGAAAATAATTCAGGCACCAGACTTAAATAATAGACCCTTTGTGCAAAATCCTTATGTTTCTTCACCTTTCCTCTTAGTAATCAGCCATGACGACCTGCTGCAGCTGTTTCCTCTGCAGCAAAGAATGACACATTTTCTCCACAAAGCATTCACTTCTGTAATAATGTCACAGCGGATGATATATAAGAGCATGACCACATAGGATGCGTTTTTTCTCCTGATCAAACACAAAGCACAGCTGTGAGCGCAGGGAGCGTTACTTCAGTCTTGTTGCTATGCGACTACTGATGTCTAATCTGAAATGGGGGATAATGCTGAAGATGAAAACTGACTGGAGAAAGTTAGTCATACGTTTGCTTGTGTTTGAAAGGATTAGGAGCTCATTCTGAAACGAACCATGTAGCCAAAATTAATTAATTCTGGTTACGTGGTTCATCACAAATTACCATGAAGAGCTGCTATTATTTGACATAATGACTTATGCTAAAACTTTAGACCCCGAGGCAGTCCCAAGACATGCTTTGTCCAAAATGTGACTCACATATTGTGCAGGATATACAGGTCTGCTGACACTAAATGAGAATCTGGGTGAGAGGTGTCAGAAACATAAGGGAAATACAAGACATTCGAAAAAGCCTTGAATAAAATCTATGGAGGAACTGCGTAACAGAAAAGAACCGGGAAAAATAAGAAGGTTAAGTTGTTGCACTGAGTGTTTTTCATGATTTATGAATTGAACGCCACTGCTCAGTTCATGGAAACTCCATTTGTTTCATGCATGTCTAAAAATGTGATTACTGCTTCCATTTAAAAACATTTCTTGCCAGCATTAAAGTGTTAATATGACCAATAGCTATATCATGTTCAGAGGGAAATAAAGAAAAATATAGATTTTATTTAGATTTTTTGGGTGTCATGCATTTGCCCTTATGACTTTGGCAATAGACACTTACTGTAACCCAGATTCACACTGGATTTATTTTTCTTTCACTATGCAAAGAGGTCTTCTTCAGTTTTCCCGTTAAGGTCTATTTCTCTCAAGCAGACTCTTTTCTGTGTATGGGCACACGCGTTTTTCTTTCATCGTGCCAGAAACTTGTTCAGAAAAGCTTGAACTGACGTTGTTGTTAATTATATATCTGTAGAAAATCATTTTTAAAAATGTGTTTAGTATTGCTTTTCCATAAATTCCCAACTCCAGTGTGTCCAGGGCAGACCCAGAATGGTGAAACACTTCACTGGGAGGTATTCTATTCAAATGCCAGAAGTACCTCAGCTGGGTCTCTCAGTCTGTAGGAGTTGTGGTTCCACTTTGAGCTCCTTCTGAATGGCTGAGCTACTCCCCTGGCGAGCCCAAACACTCATGGGAGGAACTTCATTTCACCGCTTTTTTCTGCAAACGTATTCTTTCGGGCACTGCTCACAGTGTTTGGCTGTGAAGGTAGGAGGGACTGGTACAACTCCAAACTCAAAAAAGGTTGTGTCACTGTGTAAAATGCAAATACATTCAGAATTTGCTTTTCTCATAATCCCATATTTCATCCACAATAAAACAGAGAAAAACAGGTCATATATTTAAATTAAAACATTTTACTTTTTGACTCATTTTGAATTGTTTTGGCAGCAACATGTCTCGAAAACGTTTGGAAAAGTAAGTGATATTACAAAGAAACAGCTGGAAGATCATTTTGCAAATAAGTTCATTCGCAACAGTCAGTAGCATAAAAAGAGCATCTTAGAGAAGCAGAGTTTCTCAGAGGTAAATACAGGCAGAGGTTCACCAGACTGTCTGCAAACTGTGGAAGAATTTCAGAATACGCAAAATTCAAAACTGTCAACATGTTATAATCTATAGTACCAAATATCAAATGAAAGAATCTGGAGAAACCTTTGTGTGCGAGGGACACGACCAAAAATCAGTATTGGATGCCCTTGAAAAAGGCATGATTGCTTAATGGAAATCAGTGCATGGGCTTAGGAACACTTCCACAAATCACTGTCTGTGAACACAGTTCACTGTGCCATCCACAAATGCAGGTTAAGGCTCTGGACGCTGCAGCATTCTGACTACAGGGAAGAAGGAACATCCAGATTGTTATCAGCGCTGTTCAAAAGCCTGCATGCTTGATGCTATGGGGTGTATTCGTCCCTACGGACTTGGCTGCCTACAAATCTGATCGCATCTTTTTAAAGAGAGTTCTGCATCCATAACAACAGATCGGACACGGATGGGACAACCTTCCTCTCCCAGAAGCCCAGCAACTGGTGTCATGGGTTCCCACATGTTTACAGACTGGTGTTAAAATAACACAGTAGTAAACTTGATCTTGTCCCAACTTTTTTAGTGCGTGTTGCTGCCATCAAGTATAAACTGTGCCAATATTTTCCTTAAAATAGTGAATTGTCTCTAAGTTTTGTTGTGAATAAAATAAGAGTTTATGAGACTTGCAAATTATTGCACTTTATTTTACACAGCTTCATTGAAATTTAGCTTGTAAATTGACCGCTTCACCTTCACACTCGGCTCACTCTTCACCAGAGTGGCACATCGTCTGCATTGATGCATCAATCCTGCTAGCCTCCTGTTCCACTCCTCCCCAGCTCCTTATCAAGACCCAGAGGCAATTGAACGCGTCCACTTGAGGCGCAACTTGTTATCAAGACCCCGACGTACTTGAACTCCTCCAAGTGGGGCAGCAATTCATTTCCAACCTGGAGTGGGCAGTCCACCCTTGTCTGGCTGAGAACTGTGGCCTTAAATTTGGAGGCGCCAGTTCTCATTGCTCAAGGAAGCTTGCACAACCAAATGATCTGCAAAAAACCCTACTGCCCTCTGCCGCTGCACTAGAAACTCTTTAAATAATCTAATTTTTAATAATCTGATGAATAAAAATGATAATTTCATTTGTTAGTATTTATTTTAATAGTTGCGTTATGCAACTAATGCAAGCATGTTGCCAGGTTTTCATGCATATAGGGGCTTTTAATGTGAAACAGAACAGAAAAAGCACTTGCTACTAGTACGACTGCTGGTGCATAATTCTAATATGTTATTATATGAAGCTTTCAGATGAGATATGAAAAAACATATTTAGCTCAAGACCCTAGCAATCAAAGACAGAACATAATATATCGAGTCGGGATTAAAGTATCTAAGAATTCTGAGTTTAGAAGCACGACTTGTACCGCTGATACTCGCAGTTTGCGACATTTTCCACCTTTTATTACCCCGCTGATCACATTCCAAAAAACAAAATCCCGATAAAGCTCATTCATTTAGCCCAGAAGAGGAAAAAGCAAAAAGGAAAAACACTGCCATTATCAAGTGATTTCAGCATTCACGCTTTCCTTATTCACTCCTCATTTCAATGCAGAAATCATGGCACAAACTGAAGCCATAAAACCAGCGGAAAGTAAGCGAGGCAAGACTGGCAATCACAATGGATCTTTGAGAGTGTTTTGCCCCTCGTCTACAGCCATACTCTGTAATAATGCTGTGTATTATGTTCCAGTCTAAGAGGGGTATAAGGAATGAATTGCTGAGGGTTTCATGCTGTCGAGTGCCAGCTGCCTTCCAACGCCTAGCTCACCGCCTTCAATCACACATTCAGTTGCTCTCTTTGACATAAAAGCAGAGTGAAAAAAATAGCCTTGATTTCTTTTTTGACTGCTGCTGAATGGGCTCTGTAGAGCTGTGGATGTCTTAAGTGGTCAGTAGCGGTGATGCATGGCTCTTTGGCATTGTTGCTGAATGAGAGGGGCTGCGGCTGATGATTAACTTGACTCGTCGGCTCGGTACTGTTTTGAAATGGCAGAAAAGAAGCTTTGAAATTGCTCCGCATCTTTCACCGTGCTCTTTCCACTTTGTAAGGACGCACAAAGTCAATCAAGGCCTTCGTGAGGATTTTGCACAAAGGTTTTTTTCAGTGTTGCCAGATGCGACTATTTTCCAAGTACAATTTGAAGACTATAAAGTATGTGGATATGCTATTCAAGAATGTACAAACAATATCAAAATCTGACAGCTAGTTATTAGTTAGAGACATTCACGAATACATGGAACATGGCAATTAATGGGAGGACAGTACAGTGTGGCTTTTAGATGAATATTTATGCAACTCTATTACAGAAGTCCTGTTTATGTTTCATATGCTGGAAGCAAAGCCGAAAAATGTAAAATGTGCAAAGCGTACTGTTCGAATTAGGCCAGCACTCAATGACAACATCTCCTTCTTGCTGGCTATCAGACACCAAGAAAACTAGACTGACATAGCATGAAAAAGGCTGAGTGAAAACACGAAGGACTTCCAGGCAACACAAGAAACGGGCAAAGGAGGCAGGAGGGGGTATCTCAGATGCATGCGTGATGTGATACGCATTCAGAAATACAGCAAGAAGACTTACAGTACAACAGCCGAGCATCTTCATGGATGAGAGTTAAAATGCAATAAGAGTCCTATGGTCCAAAGTTTACATGAATTTAAAGAAAGTCATATTTCAGGTTTTATGGGAAAAGCTTATCTTATCAAAACTGCTTCCAAGTGAGAATTTAGTTACATTTTTTCAACTTATTTGGGATGGGTGCAAAGAGCTTGGGCTCCCAATATTGCATAAACAGTTGCTGTTATATGTAATTTACATTTTTATAGCAACAATTGTTTCATAATGTAAAACCTATAAATTACAGAGAGACAAAGTTAATCACAATTATCATGTGATCCAGTAAGAGTAAGCACTTGGCAACGGTGGGAGCGAAGAACTCCCTTTTAAGAGGAAGACATGAGGAAAACCAAGCTCAGGAAGCGGCAGCCATCTGATGCAACCGACTGGGGGATGAGGCGACATTGAGTCAATCCAACATACTACAGCATTAAATTAGATATATATTAATGATAGAAGCCAGTTAAATTAGTGTGTCTCCAATCAACAGTCATTCCATTTACTTACATCTATTTGCATCCATGAAGATGTATTTAAAAAAAAAAGGATGTGAAATTAACACTGATGACACTTTACAGGGAAGAACAGAAACTCACCTCTGATAATATAAACCTGTCCACCTATCAAGTGTTTTAGACAACAGAACAGTCCATCTGACAACAAGGGTTGGACAGCAGTAAGAAAAACAGCGGACCAAGATGTCAAAAAGGTAGTAGGGTGAGAGAGTTTCAGGTGCAGACATAACAGAAGATGCAAGGAAAGAGAAACAGGGTCAGAAGGCCAACAACAACAACATTTGCACAAAGTTCAACAAGAGGCAGTTTTTGTTTGAACTTGCTGCTCAGATCCCTGGAAGCTGACTGAGGAGACTGACCGGGAAATGAGGGAAACCAGAGGAAAACTGAAAAGCAGGTGGTGGCCGAGATAGAGTACACTATCTCTGATTCGGAGAAGTTATACGCTGTGCATAGTCCCTCTCTGACTGAACGTAAGGAAGCGCATAGTATGTAAAATATATAGACTTTGACTACAGATGTTTACAGGAGATACAAACTCCTATGCACAGGCTCAACTTGTCCTCTTCCGCTCTAGCATTTGAAACATTAAAAGTGTTTTCCTGCTCTTTCTCGAACTGGACAACAAAACGTTTTAGGGTACTTACTGGGTGGTTTGTTAGCAGCCAGGTTTTTGAAGTGGATGCCTTTGATGACTTCCACAGAGAGACGTCCTGTTGTGGCGTTGTAAACCAGGCCCACGAGGATCTCCGGTGTGGAAGCCTGACTGACTGACTGGAATGACGAGGCGCTTTCACTGCATGTCATATCTGAGAGGCTGACCTGGGATTCGCCACCCTGAAAGAGTTGGCAAACATTCAGAACATTCTTAATATCAGTTTTTAATTGTTAAGGATTTTCCAAAACACAAATGAATTACAATTCAAACAGCAGTTCACTACACCCTCCCTTTACTGCTCTGTCCCAGCAGGACGTCAAACTCCTTACTTGGTCATTGTACTGAATTTTTCGCATTCATCGATCACGTCAAGTAATCACTCTCAGACAGACGGGTGAGGTACGCAAATAACTGCCATCTACTTTATAAACACAGACAGATTGCTAGCATGTTTCAATCAATCTCAGTCTGTCTGTGCCAATGAGCGCAACTCATCTGTAATCCAACACAGTTGTATTCTGGTTATATTCCTGAATAAAGGCAAAGCTGCCAAATACCTTAATGCCTATTTGATTTTGCAAATCACCGTCATGCAGTTACAATGTATCCAGTTTTCCGGTTTCAAATCTACGAGGTTCTGGCTTTGACTTCTTTTAATACACTACATACATGATGTATTTACTATCACAGAGTGTTGGTTTAGGCAAAATAGTGTCGTATAGTACACGCTAAATAATGCTAGCCACTATAACTTGGATATAAAATTTGGTGGTAGCCAGAGTAGGATTAATGATCTGTTACTGAAATCACACTCAGTGGATAACGGCTTAACCAGGATAATCCTACTTTTGAACACTAATAATAGTAACATTTACAAAATAAACTTTGCATTTGATTCATTATTACCTCAAACTGTTGACTGAGCTCTTAAAGTCATCAGAGAGTGAAGAAGCTGGACTAGGCCAGAAGCTGGCCATGGAGAAGAACCGTGAGGAAAATAAATCAGATTCAGGGAAGATTTTAATATGATATCTCCAAACAGATAGCTAACCCGCTAAAAAAGGAGCCTGTGTTAGGCTGGGCAAGCTAACATTTGAAGGTTACGTAATGCACATCTTTTCTTTATACTTAAGGACTTGTGTTTTTGGATAGGCTAAAAATACTCTTTACATTTTCAGTTATCTTATGTTCAGTGAATTAAGCACTGAATGTTGCTGTATTGGGTTAATTCAGCACCTGGATATCTACATAAATAAAAAATATTGTTACTAAAGGGAAAGAAAACTAATATCTGACAGATTCAATGCAGGATAAATAGGTGCCTTTTAAGGCTGCCTTTCTTCTTTGTAGCCTTTGAAATAAAGTGAGCGAAAGGAAAAAAATAAGTAAACTGATTATTGTTTATTCCCTAAGATGAAATGGAGGCAGTGTCGCACTACCATCTACTCCTGAGAAGCATTAAAAGCCAACAAGCAAACAAAACAGGCAGTTCAGTAAGAATGATCTGCAAAATGTGATCTCACTCTGAAAATGTTATCCAGTTGGATGAAAGACCAATCAACAAAGAGAAATAATTAGTGAGGTGATGAGTGGCAGCTTGAAAGCCAACACCTGCTTTGATCATCTTACCGGGAGTGCACAGCATGGGTCTAGTGTGACCGGCACCGACATTTTGCCCTGAAGGTTGAGCTTGGTGAGGTAGAACACCTTTTCCCCGAGCACCTTCTCCTTCTTCATTCGTCGCATGCTGTAAAGGCGAAATCTGATAGCATAATTGCTGATCATCTCTGACTCCACATGGCTGAAGCGGAAGGTCTCCGTGAAGATGGGGCACGGGCCTCTCTGGATCCCCGTCTTCGCCCTCTGTTTCTTAGTGGGCAGAAGCACCAGATGAACCTGCCAGGAGATGTTACCGGTGCGCTTGTAGCTGGGAAGGTCGGTTACTGCCATGATGGTTACAGACAGCTGCTGCTCCTCTGAGTCGTAGTCAAACACGATGTCGAGGGTCCCGTATTTTGCAACAGGATCTGGTTCATAACCTTTCGGTAGCTGGGCTGCTGATCCACGGGCTGACATATCCTACGGAAACCAATGAAATGTTCAGTGTTCAAAATAACACCTCAATCTAAAGTATCACTCTGATATTGCATGACTGGTATTTACCTCTGGGCTGAGGACAGCTGTACTGTCACTGGGCACGTCCTCCTCATAGCCCTTGTTGAGGTAACTCTCAGTCTCGGGGCCGTCGCTGCCCTCACTGGGACACTTGCCAAAAGAGAGGTGGGGGCTACCGCTGGTGTGGGACAGATCACACTTGGCATCACCCAGATCTGACAGCGTGCAGGACATCCTCGGAGAGCCATTCTCATCCTGATAGGGCGGTGGCTGAAGCTCATCCAGTGGCGGCGTCCGTCTCATCCTCTGGATGCAGTTGACTGGTTGGGAGGATATAAATAGATAAAATAACAAAATACAGACACATCATAACACATCGTTTAATAGGAACCATTAAAGAAAGTAATTTGGTTGCACACATTTACAGCTTCATCAGTGCTTCACTGTAGCAGCAGGTGGTGATATTCTGTATTCTCATCATCATCAACAAACATCATAGCATCAAAAGACCAAAACGGTCTTAATGCCTTCCAACATACCCAGCTTGTCAATCCAATTAAAAGCACCACATCCATAAAACAGGGTAAACACATATCTATTCTTTTTTTCTTTTTAAGCAAAAACGTAACAGACGGGGGTTGAATGGTTTTCAAACTGGAGGAAAATCGTGCATTTCTTAAAGACTATTTTCAGCCTCTGATTTGGCGAATGTGAGCATTACAGCAGAGTAAATAAATAAATGGAGCTCTGTGGCACCGAAAACAAAGAGACACTGTGCAAAGCTACAGAAACACAGGCAATTATTTTCAATTTTGAAGTTTTTGATCTTTTTATTTATTTGTAAACAATGAGAGAAATGTAAAACTTTAACAGAGTTTAAGTAACTTCAAGGACCTAAAGTATTTAAATTTTTACAACAGGTTGGGTATGTAGCCCATTTAGTACATATGGTAGTGGAACACCAACTACAGCATGTATTCAAAATCAACCCTACAGACTTAAAAAAGACACAGATCTTGGCATTGCACGATGGATTATGTTTGCAAAGTTTCATCTGAAGAAACCACAAGACATCTCGAGAAATGCCCTTCGGACAGATGAGAGGTGATTGGCCACACTGTACAGCATCACATTTGGAGAAAATGGGTCATTCGACAGCACGAGGACCCCAGGATCCCAGGCACAGCAGCAAATCACCATGATGTGTTTCTTTTTAAGAATGGCTGAAAAAGAAAGAAATCAAGGTGTTGCAACGGCCCAGTCACAGTCCAGACCTCAGCTCAATTAAAATGCTGTGGAAGGAAAGCAAACGACAATGAACTGAAGAAGAGTGGGCTAAACTTTCTTCACAGTGTTGTGAGAGAAAACAACGACTTCAGTTAAAGGTGGGACAACAAACTACTGAGTCACGTGGTGTACTTAGATTTACACGTGACATCTTTGTACATCTTATTAAAGATTAACAGATAATAAATTAATTGTAACAATACCAGGTGAGTCTTAATGTTTAATCTTCAATTCTAACTCTATCAGTATTATTTCGATCTGTAAATTTGTCATTATTATGATTTTGTTTAAAAATCTTCAGGCTTCTTTTTCAGCCTCACAAACAGATCTGATGCAGCTGCCCTCGTGAGTATAATACGCTCTGCGAGAGGAATCTTTTGAATGCACAGTCTAAATAAAACATCAGATACACACCATTAAAAGGACTGAACTGAATACTTCTTAATCTGCCACACATTTTATGCCTCTCACCTTTCTAAATGATTCAGTTGCCTGGAAGGCAAAGAGTGAGGCTGTGCTGAACATTTCTGTGGCACTTACAAAGAAGCCTGAATAGTGTTGTCAGCTGCATTCTCAAACCTGACTCCTTTGTCCAATTTGGATTCACAATAACTGAGCAGCCAATGCTAATACTCCCAGAGGGACGCTGGTGAGGAATGAATGCTTTAAACCCAGCCTGTTGCAGAAAAAAATAAGGGGGCAGAGAGAGAGAGAAAAGAAAACAAAAGATGAAGAAGAACATAACTTGAAAAGAACAATTTCTTCTTTCCTCTAACTTTTGGAAAAAGCCAACACTGTCATGACGTAATCCACTCCAACACAATGTTCCAGCTTTCTCCCAAGTTCCTGAAACTTTCACTCTTAATAATGTCGGTGAGACACCAGCTCAAAGTGGCACATATCAGTGGCAGGATAGAGGCAAAGGAGTCTTAACTAAGTGTCATGGAGGGCTTGATAAAAGGAGCAAATCCATTTTGAGCAGCTTTTTCCCGCTGAGCCGGGGGCGGTTGATTTGATAGAAGCTGCCGTGTAAAAGCACTACTCTTTTCTCCAGCCCGCTAATTGGGACGGTTACCATTCTTCCCCTCGTCTCACCCACCCTTTCATCCCTTCTCTGCTGGCGTTCGCCTTGTTTTGCCTTCTTGTACCTCTTCAAGTGGGAAAACAGTTTGTGAATCTCGCCTGTGAGAAGCAGGTAAAAATATCTCAGATGAAAAAATGAGAGATGCTGCACTCGGTTGTCCTTTTCCCAACTGTAAGCAGGAGGAAACACACCTGACCTCCTGCTACCTTTCTAAAAGTTTTAAAAGGAGTTAAGCAAAAATATCAGCGTCGGATTATGTAGAAGGCTAAGTGTAAAGAAAACAGAAGTGCCATCACCCCAATTCAAACAAAGCAGGTGAACGAAGCAGATAGATTTACTATATTACCAATAAATACATAAAACTGATATTTATTCTCCCTGTGAGAAACCAGTTGTGTCAGTGTTAAAGCCACTTTCTGCATGGTGTAAATGCAAACAAGCTACTACTTTATCGTTAGTTTTTTCCCAGAAACACACTGAGAAGAGCTGCACCACATTCCAGCACTGACCTCACCAACTTGAGACAATGCTTTCAGTTCCAGACGTGCCCCAGAAGTGACCGTCTGCTCCGTATCTCTTAAAATAGTGGATAATCTACTCATTCATTCATTTATTTATTTAACTGGAAGCTGTTTAAAGCTGCACAGGGCAGATGAGGAGACAGGAAGTCAGAGACATCAGGAACCGAATGGAAAATTCAGTCAATTTTCAAAATAAAAGACCTCATACAGACTAAAGTCTCTGATTCTAAAACACTCGATGGAAGGACAAAACAAGGACACCCAGTATGAGTGCATGACTCGAGTTACATTAACAGTTGCACACCCTATTGTAGACCTTTTGTTAGGTTTTGTACTGTTGATTGTCATTTATGCTTAGAAATATTTAACTATATATGCTTAGAGGTGTATAATCAATTGTGTAGTGATAGGATGTGTGATCTTTAGCAGGCTGCAAAGGCTTGGTGTGCATTGCACACCTACATCCTGGGAACATGGGAAGAGGTCGTACCTTGTTTTATTGTTTTATGGTAGGATAAACGTGGCTATATCTGTTTTAGGCTAAGTGCCTTTTGTTTAGATGAACTGTTGGACTTCCAGACCAGCAGGTTTAGGGAAGTCATTTATGGGGTCACACTCTGACCCCCCCCCACACACACACACACACACTCTTTGTTTGTATGTAGACGTCGTATGTTAATGAACCTATGCGTATTCATGTAACCTCAATAAAAGAGCAGTGTTACGGGGGAGCGGACAAGAGCAACTGGGGTCAAGCGAAGGAACGGCGTTTGTCCGGTTCTCTACCGTGCACGAGAAACATGAAGAACTTTGCCTACTTCGTGTCTTGCTTGCGGTGTAATTATATTGTCTTCAACGTTCCAGCGAATAGGTTCAAGCTACAAACCTATCACCTTTTTACCCCCAACTTTATAGATCCTTAAAAACATATAAAATATGCTTGAAGATGTGGCTCTGTGGAACAGTGGACTGAACCCAGCTGCAATGTATTCCAGTTCTTGTGTGAAAGCTATATTTGAAAAAAATAATTAATTTATTCATTAAAGAATCTCTGAAACACAGCCGGGATCTATTTTTCTGGCTTAGCATGGTGGTAGAAACTAAATCTTAATCCTGAAAACAATGTACAGGATTGGAACTACTTGCTGGAACTACATTTCACTCAAGAAAGAATCCCTTAAAAATTGTGCAGAGTATAGACTATGACGACTGAATGCCCTCCTCCCAGTTTCAATCCCCATTTATTCTCTGTCTACAATATTCTTTGTAAAACATGTGCTCAGAGGTGTGGATACTAAAAATGGCTTCCTTTTGCTTCTGAGTTGCAGCATATGAATAAAGCTATCGTGATCTCACTTACACCTCACCGATTTTCATGTGAGAAAAGTGCTAAATGTGCAGGTTTGAGTGCGAGATGAACAAAATTTGGCTGAGAAACATTCTCTCACTTTTGTTAGTTAATGCTTCAGAAAATGTTTTTTTGCTCTTATTGAGCCGGTTGGGTAACCATTCAGAAGTAAACAAGGTCTTTAAAAATGTGGCCGACTTCCAACATGGCACCAGTCATCGCTGCACCCTCATTCACAAGTGAATTTTGTTCTATGTGAAAAACTAATTTGCTTCTTTCCAAGGTTTATGTTGGATTTTTAAAACCACTTTCATTCAAACTGAATCAAATCATGAACTCTGGATTGATTAATTGAGCTTTCTGGTCAGAGGTAGGCCAATCAGCTCTGAGTAAAGTGCATGAAATAAAGCCACAATCAATGAAACCTCATCCCCAACCTCCTGTAGCAGATGGCTGCTGTTTCTGAGCCTGGTTCTGCCGAAGGTTTCTTTCCTGTAAAAAGTGAGTTTTTCTTTCCCACTGTCACCAAGTCATCGGGGGTTGTTTGATCTTTGAGTTTTCTCTGTGTCATTAGAGTGTTTTACCTTACAAAATAAAGTGTGATTTGGTGATATATAATTAAAATTGAACTGAAACCATAGCAACAGGTAAATTAACAGAAATGTGAGTGTCTACCATATTTCTCTTAAAAGAAAATAATAACAAAAGAAAAAAAGAAGAGTTTTTTTTACATAACAGAACAGTTTATATTTAATCTTTAAATCTAATCATTATTATTTTTATAAAAACCGGTTTTTTTTTCACTAATTATTATAATTATTGCCAAGAGCAAAGTACAGGTGACAAGACAAAATAAAAAAAATAAATAAATAAAAAATAAAACACAGTTTATTTATGGACCTACTCATAATCATATACAGCAAATGATTTGGAGGGTCCATTGACCATAAGCTGAAATCCTACTATCCACATGAGTGAGAAAACCATCAAAAAGCACTGGTACATGCTGTGCAACACGGTTCTCAAAGTGGCCATTAGAGCAGGGGCTTACTCCAGAGAAGGGAAACCTTAGATCATTTTTCTGCTTTCTGCTTACTTCCTATTTTTGGAGTCTGAGTGAAGCCACCGGGGCACCCAAACTCTGATTCTGCAGCTCTGGCACAATCCTCCTCATGTTTTATACATATGTCCTGAGGATGAAGCTCTTCATACTCAGACAAACACAACAGCGGTAGCTGTGGGTGTGGAGAGGAAGCTTTTATGGCTGTTTGCTTGAAAAAATAATGAAATGCATGTCCTTTAGCGCTCGTGGAAAATCATGGAAACGATTCACCTATTTATCTAATGAAACTTTCCATATTGCAGAGAAAGCTAGAACCGATGTCAGCCATGGCACGAGGCCGCTGCTTTGTTATTGCTGGTCCACGATGGCTTGGTGGGAGAGAAAACCACAGCCATCAAAGCCTTACCACAGGGAGGAAAATAATGATCCTCCAGTACTTTCAACCGAAGTGCAGCCACGGACGGACAGAGTTTTTACCTCCTCTTTGGTTATAGTCGAGCAACTATAAGTAAGCTGATTATGATCTGATGAACCAAAAACTTTACAGAAGGCACACAAACAACTGCTTTGCCTTGAATTTGTTTTCTTGGCAGCCAAGAAATACATCATCTGCCAGTTATCTGGATAATCCTTGAAACCTTTAAGGGTATTAGAATCATGAGGAAAAAAATCAAAACAAAACCTTGCGTAGCTAACATGTTGTCATAAATAAACCGAGTAAATTTCAAATTATTGCTGGCAGGCTCTTGTGACTCAAATCCCTGCTTCTCTCTCACGCACAAAGAACACTCACTACGTGACGTTCCTGCAACAGGCAAGTAGTCAGTGATGGATTTGTGCAAGAAAACAAACATGACTTCAAACCAAAGTAAACAGCTCAGTCAATATATACTTACCAGCCACTTTATTAGGTACACATGTCGAACTGCTCGTTAATACAAATATTGGCCAATCACATGGCAGCTACTGTTTGCACTGATCTAGACATGGTCACAAT